GGGGGGTTATGCTGTTTTAACAAAGCCAGGCAGAAGCAAAACTTGAATACCAAGCAACTGATTTTAAAAAAAAAACCCAAATAAACTAGCCCCCTTATCAATGACTTCTATAGAGAATGGCTTGCATTATAGCACTGCATACAGATTGTGGGGGTTTTTTTTATTTTTCCACCAACCTGCCTTACGCATTACACAATTTATATGAAACCTTTTATAACAGGCAACAGATAGCACAGGAACTAGGTAGGCCACTACAGCCACTGCTGCTTGTTAATGAGATCGTTTCTTGAGAACTCATTCATTGTTCTGGGTGCCAAACCAAAACCAAACAAACAAAAAAAACCCCACTCACACCAAAAATACCCACACGCCCAACAAAGAAACTCCCAAGAATAAAGCCCAAACCCCAAACCAGCTTCAAAAGGGTGGAAATTAAAACAAGATAGGAAGGAAAAATCAGTGTGTGTTAAATACCTCAAATTCCAAAGTCAACCTAATGGGATCAAAACATGCTTGTCCATTTTAACAACTTTTCATGGAGAAAAGAATTTCTGTGTAAAGGCTGCTTAGACCAACTTCTGTAGATTTTCTTCTGAAAACTCAAAATTATAACCATTTTTATTTCAATTGTTTTTTCCTTTACCTTTTTTTTTCCTTTGATAACTTAATTTGCACTTAGTTTTCTTGAACTAAATGTTTCTCTGAAAATATAGGGAAAATCTTGTAACATTTTGAACTTTTTCCTGGTAACAGTGCCCCCCCTCCCACTGCCCAAATCTAAACTGTCACACACATAACTCGAACTCCTTTACATTCTAGTTTCTCATTCAGGTAAAGCAAACTGCTGAAGCACTAATTAATATCCAGGGCTGCAGAGCATTTCAAGAAAACGAAAACAAGAACCAACTCTTTCAGAACCTGAAGGAAGTAAGAAAAACAGATAAGATAAACAAATGTTCTGAGGTTCCAAAATGGCTACAAATGCACTACACTGTATTTCTGACCTATTCTGACATATCATCACCTCTTCATCTTTAGTTACAGAACTGCCAGTGGAAGTGGCTCTCTTCTGCTGCCACACTCCTCCACACAACACTGCACTGTGTCTAGCAACTGTGCAATCACATGACTGATCAGTAAGTTGCACCAAGGGAAAACTACATTTTTTGTTAGTATAGTTTAATGCTGGATTCTGCAAGTGTCTGAGCACTCCAACACAAGAAAGCATAGCAGAAACATGTGGAGTTGAGAGTTTTCTTCTTCTTGTGCTAAGGATGTAGGATGAGAAAGCACAGAGCTAGCTACCCATTCTAGCAACAGCTGCCACCACAGCACCCTAAATATAACATGAAATTGCACACTGAAACCTAGCCTCTTACTACTAGATTAAAAGGCAAGGTCTGCTACTAATATCAGTGATTATACTGCTCAGCAGATACATACAGAAAAATCGATCAGGCACAGTAAAGCAGTAAACCAGGCAACTATTTGGAGAGCCCAGCAACACTCTGATATCATGAATTAATTCCTCCACATCTCAGGAAAAAAATAAAAAAACAAACACAAAAAAACCCCACCAACACAAAAAAAAAAAATGGGATGGTGAAAAAAATGAAAAAAAGAAAGAAAGCAAGACCTCTGAAATGAGCCTTCCAAAGAAACTCAATGCATATTCAACATACAGAAGCATTAACTTCAATAGAAGGCATTTTATTATGTGCCAATAAATGAAAAACCTATGTATCTAATCATCAGAAATTTAACTAAAGAATAACCACGTTCACTTTGCACTGACACTCTGAGATTCTACTACTTAGACCTCAAACTGAAAGAGCAAAGTGAAGCTTCCTGCTTTGGCAGTCTGAACCAGAACAGACCAAAATTCTGTTCTCCTGAATCCATACTGTATTATGAAACTGGAACACTGTTGTTCCCTGTAGTGTCCAGACTCGCAGACGTCTATGTGTGAAAAAGTTGATGTCACACAGGAGTTAAGCTGTTTACCTTTGCTTGGCAGTTGTGATTCCTTACTTTAAAGGTAGCTTTACAAGACAAGTGTAATTTTTCAACCCATCACCCACCAACAATTTAGTGTGCAGACATCTGAAAGTTGCCTATTGTTTTATGGGATTATTCTCGGATACCCAAGGTGTGCGAGTATAGACAAGGTCACTATAGTCTAATACATGTCAACAGTTTATCCCTCCATATCACAACGGATTTTTGTTTCAGTGTTCTCCCCTTGTAAACAGGAAATGAGTCCAAGTATAAATTATAGATTTCTCCTTTGAAAGGGCATCACTTACCAGTAACTACCATGCTGCTCATGTTAGAGTTCGGGCTATTGAGTACACTGCCTGAAAGAAGTTCGTCAGATCCTCTCTAAAAAGAAAGAGACAGTAAGAGATTTTTTTTCCTCTATTTTGTGATTTTTAAAGATATTAAAATTGTCAGCTTGACAGGGAAAACCTTCAGAAGAACTTAAGTAAGCACTACCAAACCTATTCAGATTTGGCAGACTTCCTCTTTAGCAATAAGTGCAACAACTTGAAAGCTAAGTAAAGCAGTATATTTACATGGCAATCTGAAATGAGAGCAGCTTAAGCACAGTTGTTTAACCCACCACTGAAATGAAGCCATTTCTGGACACAATGAGAACTGCTGAACAGCAATTCTTGTCCACCAGTTCAAATGAAAGTATTATTATAATTAAATATAATCTATTTCAATAACATTTAACTTATATTTTTATTATTTGAATACACATATATCTCAAATTACTTTATCTAGCTGAAACTACAAGGGCAATCTACACAAACAGCAATATGGAGTTTAGCTCAATTCTAACACTGCTATTTAAACAAAAAAAAAAAAGACTTGTCTTCACAAGAAATGATCAACTTTCATTTTGGGGACATCCATTTGTTCTGCAAAACACATCTTCAATCGAATTCTTAAAACATGACAAATATCAAATTATCTTTTTGAAAATTACTTGAAAGTGGGCTGCAAAAATCGGGAGGGTTCATATTGAAAACATACAAGATAATCCTTTCCTCTCAAATGATTTATAAAATGGGCATTTGACACTGCGCTGAAGAGACTTTTCCTTCCTTTCATGCCATTTTTTTTTCTTTTCTTTTCTCCTTTTACCCCCCAACCCCTTTCGGCCCTCAAGACTTCATCTCTCAAAGAGCCCACCAAGTACTTAGGTGATCTTGCAATAAAAAAAGTTTTTAAAGCTAATAAAGCTGACAACCTTTGAATATCATCTTTCATTTCTAATTGGTTCTTTCCTCACTTCTAAAGTATCTCCCCAGCACCCTTAACACTAATCCAGGTCACTGCTAAAATGAAAATGAGGAAAGAAATCAGTTACTACCTGTCCTTATAAAAAATAAATGTTCTGAATTCTGCTGTGGACACTACAACAGAATCAACAATGTTAGTGAATATTTTTTACAAAGCACCTCAATACTGCAAAATAAAGTAACCTGAGGCTATCACCTTTCTAGGCAGCACAGTTGCAAGGTGTATAAAAATCAAACCTTTACCGTTTTATCATAGTGCACTATATGTGTGCCTACATACAGAACAGTACGTTAAAGTTTAATCCACACCTAAAATCCAGAAGCTCTTAAAAATAGTGTATATGTGTATGTACACACAGAGTCATTAAACTTTACTCAGTTTTCAACATCATCTCTCAAGAATCTTTATAGAGTTTATTGAATACTCTAATCTCTTAAGGGTATATAGCAAGCAACAAAACTGTGCCTATCAAATCAGCAGAAGTTCCTTTAAAACTGCATCATGCTTAATATCAAGATTATGTAGGACCATAAGGGTCATGTCTTGTCCTTTTTAATGTAAGGATGCACTTCTCATAAAACTTTAGCAGGACAAAACTGAGAAACAAGATAAGTTATGGAAACTCTCTGTTACTCAAACTACATTGCTTTCTACCATAAATATAATACACTAATGCAGGCACTTTGTATAATTTGAAAGATAAATACTGCTCCTTTCTCTTTAATGTTCTATTTTCCTAACATAATACTGACATGAGTAGAATGTTGCAAAGTCCAAGATTACTAACATTATTAGCTTCATGGTAACTGCAGCTTTCCCTGCCTGCAGCTATCCACCTAGCCTTGCCTGGGAGCCCTTGGCTGCAGCCTGGACAGTGCAACTGAACAAGCAGAAGTAGCAGCAGTTAATCAATTCATAGGCAGACTGAGATAATACAGTAGCAATTTTGTTTTCCTTAATACGAGACATTAATTTGCAATGGTACAGCAGTCACTACATAAACAGCTGAAGCACCCCCAGTGCCAAATGACTGCTCTTCCCAGAACCTGAAGCAACTTTACAATTCTGAATTTTCTCAAATTTGAGCTGTCTTCAGCTTCAGAAAGTTACTTAAAACAGCAACTGCTGAATAGCAGAATGCAAGAGTGATTACATAAACTTCTGGTTCCTAGTAAATCAGGCTTTCAAAAAGCTGTTAATTTCTTAATCCACAGCAGAAAAAACCAAAAGGAGCACAAATTACTCAGCTGAGTGCATATTTAGTTACTGTATTTGTGTCTCATGAACAGTTCACCTTTCATGAATACCTTCATAGTCAGCCACAAGATCTTGTCACTGCACTTGAAGCTTTAACAGTTTTGCTTCAGAAGAACAAATAAATGTGAATTACCTACACTGGCCGCTACACTTGTCTTATTTGCATAAATTAGTGCTCAAAAGTGTGATCCACAGATGTACACATTCGTCTATGTGGAATGTTCTCCCAGTTCCCCATGACATCACAAATGTATAGCAAACTTCTAACTCACTTCCATACATACTTCCCAAGCTTTTGATCAAAGACAAAGACCTCTCTTATCATGTGAGTAATCATCTTATTAGATACACATGGTTATTTCTCCTAATTGATTCTTAAGCAGCCCAGACACCTCTGCACTTATCCAACGTTAAAACTAGCTATGCAGCAAAAGACACAATGATGTACTAAGGATATAACCAAAGAAAAATTTAGCTAGACAAAACTGAGAAACAAGATAGATAAGTCATGGAAACTCTTGGTTACTAAAACTACATGCTTTCTACTATAAATACAATACACTAACACAAGCACTTGGTATAACTTGAAACAAACAGTCCTTCATTCCCTTTAATGTTCTATTTTTCTAACATAACACTGACATGAGTAGAACATTGCAAAGTCCAACATAGTAGTTAAATTGCAAAATAAAAAGCAGTAACTGCCTGGTAATTGTGATTTACTTCAAAAGGATTATCTTAAGATGCCAATTGTCTGTAAAGCAATTTAATACCAGCATCTCAAATAAGCCACTGTGTGTGCTCTTAAACTGGCACTACTATGTGACACAAGCACCTCCAGAATTACACAAATATTTATTTTGCTTAAATTTATTGAGGAGATAAGACTTGATTCAATTTGTGGTTTGGGATGCTTGGCTTTGGCTTGATGTGAATCTTCTTTTAGAGGGTGCTAGGCTAGAAAGAACTGGTATCTAGCTCCAAGAGCCAAGCTCTTCATCACTCTGCCACGCCACATGTGAATTTCAGAATTATAACCAATTTTCCAAGCATCTTGAATATTTAAGTAGTCTCATTCTCAAGCACATCAGTTCTGCTAGTCAAATCATGCAAAACAAATGAGGTAATTGTGTTGAGTGTTTCAGAGGTAAGGAAACTAAATTCAGATTTTTGAAGAACACAGAGAATTCAAGAAGAATGAAAGATGCAAGAGCAATGCTCACTTAACTCTTTTCCTGTCTGTGCAAACTGCTGTGTTCTAAAGGATCAAAGCAGTTTGAGACTGTATAACAATATTGAAGATCACAAATACAAAGATGGCAGAAACATTCAATTCTAAGTTAAAATAACAAACAAACAAAACCCACAATAATGATTTCATCATAGACTGCAAAGGAAAGTTACTGCAATAGCAACATCACAGAGACTAATTGAATATCCACTTTAGCATGAGGAAAGGAGATTATAAAGGACAAAAATAAGAAGTACAAACTGCTATTATACTATTAATAGATCATCTGCTAACATCTAGTCCTCAACAGCACAAGTTTTCAATGCCATATTTCTATTCCTACCAATGTCAAGAAAATTCATCCACATTAATCTTCCACAGAGACTAACCACTAACCATTCAGATGAGAGATACTCAGAACATTTCTTCATGAAACCAGCATCTGTCAAAATACTAGTATACAAACAAAGGAGTTGCCAAACTACCTTCTTGCAGCCAGTGAACCTTGCATTTGTCATGGAGTCAGCACTGTCCTTTCACTGAAGCCCATGTTATCACACACTTGCCCCCACGAGAGCATTTTCATCCATGGTGTGAAAACATCACGTTAATACATGACTTCAACCAATGGAATTATGTAACCCTGACATGTAGCACTATTTCCAAAAATTATATAAAATATATCAATTCAGACTATTAATATATATTTAAGAGAAAATTCGAAATTAGAGAAATATTATTTTAGAAACTGCAAATTGAAGATACCACTTTGACATTTAAATTTCCCTAAGTGAATAGTTATTGTATATACTGTCACTTCTGCAATTTACAAAATCAATTAGACAAAGAGAAAGAAGAAGCCCCAGTTTAGCAAATTAATCTCTGAGCTCCTTGCTTTAATAGTCATAGCTAACTCAAAATCCCTCACAAGCTGGATTTATGTAGCAGGATTTCAGATTTTTCCCCCATAACAGACTACCAGGAAGCTTCATTGCTATCACAGGTTACAATATGCGACTATGTCATTTCACAAAGTCATTACAGTCGTACTATCCTTCCGGGTTAATCAAAAATATACTATTTGGAAGCCTTTCTCAGCTGTTTTCCTCACACTCCAGACAGAGCTTAAAATATTTCAAACACTCCCCAGATTTTATTATATGCAAGGTATAACCAGAGTAACAACTCTGGCTTGAGAGTTTACAAAGCAGTTTAATCTTTTAAGCATCAAAGTACTTTCTGACAACTGTTTATGTCAGAGAAACATCAGCTCTCTTCCCAATAATTCAGGGCTATGGAGATTCTGATCAGAAGTTATGGCTGAACCTAATATAACAAACAGTATATTACAGAAGGCTTATTAGAAGCATGTGTAGGTGCACTACAAGAATACTAAACTAATACTCCTAGAAAGAGTAAACAAGTGACAAAACTGCACTTGTTCAAAAGTCAACAGTATCACCCAAAGTAATTTCTTAAATTCCCACTAGAAAAGATAAAGACGACACTCAAAGATATTGAAAAATACATTTTTGGATAAATTCTCTCATTTGCAGTACGTGAATTTGCTGGTATTACAAAC